ATTATTATCTCATTTTCAGCAAAAGGGCCAGTTTTCTTTCCTTTTCGAGTGATGTTATACTTAACATTTGTGACAATCTGGTCTATCTTCATCTTTAAATAATGAGAAGTCTTGGGTGTCTTGCAGGTTTTACCGATTTACTTCCTAGAGATAGACACTCGAACACTCTAATGCTTTTTGAGTTGAATAACTTGATGAGGTATATTCCTTTTACTTGAATATTTTCTTACAGTTACGCGTTATGCTCTTATTGTTAATAGAATTAGTGAAATAGCTAAAACTACTTGGATATGAATCATATTATCCTTTATGATTTCTGCAACTCTTACTTCATAGAAATTCTTTTGTGATGTGCCATTTTTGAGAAGATATCAATTGTATCATTAAGGAAGGTTCTGCATATATATATATATATATTACCAACAACTCTAACGTAGCAAGATTATTTGCATTTTCAATTTGTAATAGCTTTGTTCCTATTTTTTATGCTTTCTTTTAATTTTATTTTTCCATTTATATGACACAAGAATCAAAACTGATGATAAAATGCGTCTTATTTGATTAATCTTTTGGCATGAGGATTTCTTCATAGATTGCAATACTGCACCTTTTTTCAGGTTTCAGGTTGCTTTTGAGATGAGCCCTGCATTTAATCTTTATGGATGTCCATGAATCGGTAAAGTTATTTGGAAATCTTTTTGCGTCAATGACAGATTTCTTAGTCTTTTTTGTCTGTTAACAGTTGATTTTTAACTCTAAATCATAACATGTTGTGGTGCAATCATACTATCTACTTTCATCTTCTGCCAGTAGTCCTGCCAGTGGATGGTGCTTTTAGGTGCTAAGAGAAAAGTTATGGTCTCCCGTTTCGTTTTTGTTTGTAATCTTAAAATGGGGAACTTAGTTGGGTTGAGCAAAGCAGTCGGGTTATATTTGCGATTGGGTGGTTATGTATTATACTATATAATTTATTAAAATACAACAAGTTTTACAGGCAAAAAGGTTATTTTAATCTATGTGTTTTTTAAATTTATTGAAATTCATCTATCGACTATTTTTTATAGTTTTTTAGTTTATGGACAACGATACGTGCACCTTCATCCATTATACGCTCTGTTACACCACACT